TTTTTTTTTTTTTTTTTTTTTTTTTTTTTTTTTTTTTTTTTCTTTCCCTCTACCACGGCAGTCCTCTTTCCGTGGGTTTGTATTGCGCGTATGCATGGCCAGGGCGACTGGGAATATAAAGAAGCAGGCGGGGGCGTCCGATATCGAAACGCGCGAGAGAAGAGGAAGAAGCGAGGGTGTTATTGATTTTACTTGCCTTTGCTTCTTCCCGGGGCTTTCGTTCCTGGTATATATTCACTTTTCTTTCTTTCTACGTCCCGAAAACCTAATTCTGCCTCTATCAATACGACCCTTGATTCTTTGTTTGTTGCTTTTTTATTTGTTTACTCATACTCCCGTTATACCTATGTACGCGTTAAATGCTCTCAGCTACTCTACGTGCATCTTATTCGCAATTTAAATTAAATTGTTGAAGTTTACTTTATCGTTCTGCTTTCATTCGTTCGTTCACAAACAGTACATACAGAGTGTACACACACACACACACACACACACAATACGATATACATGTGTAAACCTATCTCGTTGAATTTACAATTTAAGTTTATGTATACGTCTCTCTTTTCATAGTGATTTTTTTTTATCCCTATCTACGAATCTTTTGACGATGCAACGCACTCGTACGTGGATATTTTTATGCATGTATGAATGCGAATGCCACTTTTCTTACATTCTTGAGTGTATATAGAAGTCATAGTTGGTGAAACAGTAGTTCATGTACACTTTCAGAAATCATGTATACACATTTATGTACATGTACGTGCATATACATGTGTGTATACATCATTACCCAATACTTTTGACAATTTACTCTATACGACGCATCGAATTTTTCATGTGTACGTTATGATAATACATTATAATATACTTTGCACCAAACAAATTATTACACGATACACTTATGATGATTTTTGTGTCTCTGTAACTGAATATATATATGTATATATATATATATAAACGAATNGTTTATGTATATATATATATATTTTTTTTTTTAATTACTTGAATGACTCTCGCAGCATCTATTTGCTCCTAACTAATATCTACTTTGCATAATTGTCATTTGGTTGCATGATTAAATTGTATTATTTATTTTGTTACTCCTTAAGATTCACTATTGATTCATGTCAGTCTGCAAATTAGTATCCAATTGTCTTTGGACACCCTCAGATAATGTCCTCAGTTGGTTGACTTTGAAAACTGTTTTTCTTTTTGCTAATTTTTTTATTTTTAGTCTTTTTGTATCTCAGCATTTCAGCACATATTAGTCTTATAATAGCACATCTCAATTGTTTTCGTATTGTTTTTGTTTCTTTATTTTTTTTTTCTTCGCTAACCTTAGATTTTTTACTCAGCTCCATCAGTAGTGGTGGTGGATATTTAAACGATTTTTTACCACGTACCCATGTGAACTAGAGGGTAATCAACAGGTAGAGTCAAACAAAATTTTACAAGTCTGAGCTCAGTTACAAAAAAAAAGGTAAACGAATAGACCGATTTTTTTCTTTCTTCTATTATTAAGTCAATCATATAATAAATTGATTAATTTCACAGGACTACCTAATCGAGGTGCAAATATATAATTATCTTATAAGCATTAAAGTATCAGTTCAAAGTTAATATCGTAATACACATAATTTTGTCATCCAATTTTTTATACACTCAACGCCCTTTTCTCACTGTTATTATTAATCTTTTTGTCCATTTAATTTAATCATTTATCATCTTTCAAATACGACATCTTTTTTTTCGTTTTTTTTCTCATTTTTTTGCGAAAAACAGTGAACAACATATCGTTTGATTTTTTTTTTTTATTATTATTTTTTAAATAATTTTAAGGTATATTTTACGTATATCAGCAAAAACGTATACATAGATATAACAAAATTTTTGCTCAAATAATTACGCTGGAAAATGCATGGATATGAAAAAAAAGAAATGTTACAGCCAAATATTGGAAAATGATGATACGAGAAAAATTTATGAATTATTAATTTTCTTACATAAAGAGAAAATAGTTTTATTTTTTTTATTTTTATTTTGATTCGTTTTTATCTCCCACCCCTTTTTTTCATTAGTACGTCTATAAGAAATTTTTTAAATTATTCAATGTATAAGCCCTTTTTTCATACTAACAAAACTTTGACGAAACATCTCAACTCTCATCCTTCGGCTAGACTATTTTTGTTTTTCATATTCTCTCTTTAGGAATACATCACAATGTGTTTGTTTTCTTTTGGCTACGATCGACGCGCACAAAGAATTTCGTCAGCTATCTCATATACTTTTCTTTTTGTCTTTGATCCAAAAATAACATTTATTAAACAATAATTGTCATAAATTAGAATTTTTCTTTTTAGTCTTAGATACTAGATTGTACAAAGAAACCTTAATATCTATAAATTTTTGGAAAAGTTCAACATTTTGTTTTTCTGAGATACTCTTAATGAAAATGACGGATTGATGTTGATAAATACATATATATATACATGTAAATTTATATATATGTATATGGATGTGATTTTTCTTCATTTTTTTCCTGTTTTTCAATTTTATGATTTTTTTTTCTCTCTTTGTTTTTTGTACAGAACAAATTTTTTTTTAATTTATGAATCTTAAAGGTACTTGAAAGTTTAACGAATAAATCCTTCTTTTTGTTATTTTTTTCGTACGTTTTTTCCCCGCTTACTCTGTTATGAATTAGTTTTCTTAATTTTTAAAGAGTACAATTAATTTTGGTAAAGAAAGGAAAAACATGTCCATCCATATCATACAAGTATCGATGAAAAATGTTACGTATTCATGTTGTATCTTATGCAAATAAAATTATATTAGAACTTTTTACGCGCTTCGATCGAGCTTACGCCACATAACGCACGTATAAGACACACACATGCACACATACCTGCTCATACGTATTGTACGCACGTACAATGCACATAGTTATAAGTGTGTAAGACATGATATAACTCGGTTTTATTCTATTTTGCCATTGCCTTTCTCCAGGCGGCCCCGACCCTTTCTTCTAATCTTACTTTTGCTATTCATACACTCACATAACCTCGATGCTCCTTTGCGTTTCTCTATGAAACATCGTAGCGAGGGTTGTATCGGCAAAACATAACCTCTGAACAATTTGTTCATGCATATAACGCGTACGATTAACATTTAAACACCGTAAATCTCGTTCGTCTGTTTATTATTTTTTTTTTTGTTACTATGTGTTTGTCTATAAATCTCTTATCCACGTATACACGTGCTAGTCTTTAGTTTCCATTCGACAAGTTACGCGAATAAGTACCGGCGCTGGGGGGAATAAATATATCGAACGTCTCTAGCGCCAATACCACACACGTAAGTGTGCATATATCGTATAAAGTAAAAATATTTTAATAATCAAAGGGCTCGTCACGTGTAAATTAAGTACACTCATCGCAGCCAAGTCTTTTCAAGTTTGAAGTGCCAGTAGAGGGCTCTGATGTCAACACCCCCGGCACGTCGGTCACGTTAATCCCAACGCACCGTGTCTCCCATTCGCTGACCACGCGTGGAATTATTCATCACTCCCGTGGACGTAACGTGTACACTCGCAGTTTTATTCTCTCCGCGTCTTCGTTAGATACTCTTCTAGAATAATCATGCACCCACATAGGCTCGGGTCAAATCTCGCTTGATGTACAACACCACGTGGGTGACAAAAGATGACGTCGCACGAGAGCTTTGTCTCTGCAGCAGCAGATGAACGTGTTTTTTCGTGTTTTGTGCTTATTTTTTTCTTTCCATCGTACCTCTTTTTTTTTTTTTTTTTTTTTTTCTTTCCCTCTACCACGGCAGTCCTCTTTCCGTGGGTTTGTATTGCGCGTATGCATGGCCAGGGCGACTGGGAATATAAAGAAGCAGGCGGGGGCGTCCGATATCGAAACGCGCGAGAGAAGAGGAAGAAGCGAGGGTGTTATTGATTTTACTTGCCTTTGCTTCTCCCCGGGGCTTTCGTTCCTTACTATTCCCCACACCCTGCTCTCACTCGTCTCTGTATCTCCTTTCCTCGCCCCGATTTGGAAAGCTCATCCGATGACGTTACTCGACCCAGAGGAGCTCTCGCGAGCTTTTTTTTTTTCCATCGCGCTGCCTTCGTGAATCAGAATATTTCCAGGCTGATGGTTATACATCTAACCACGTCAAAGTCGCAGAGTCGAAATCATCATCGAGTTTCGCCCAGATGACACTTACAGCGGTCGATGAACACTCAAGTACACGCAGAGTTCCCGTGTTCTTCGTAGCGTCGACGTATCATTAAAAAAAACAAGCTCATCGCTTTTGCTCGAAAATATCCAACCCTGGCATTATTTTTCCATCGCATTGCAATCGTACGCAGTTCGTAAAACCACAATAACAGAGTGCAATCGCGATTCGCAGGATAAAGTGTTTCTCTTTTTCCGATACTGTTTCGACGCGGTTTCGAGACTAGCGAAAGGAATAACGAGTCGGGGCCGTGCCTTAGTTGGCGACCGGCGAATCGCCGAGCCGGAATAAACGAGAAAAACGACGTGCGTCACGCGGACTGTGGGCACACACGCCCAAAACATCCGAGTACCTATACCTTTGCGTACACGCAGGGAGCGCGTGATTGATAGTCCCGGCTGCCGACGCGTCATGCGTGTTGCGAAGGAAAAAAAAAGAAAAAAAAAAGAAGAAAAGAAAGAAAAGAAAACAAGCTCCGGGCGACGCCCTCTTTGATGCGTGCGAGAGTATATACCTCACATGTATGTACTAGTGAGGCTCGCACGCGTCAGCTGATGGTGAGTGGTGTCACTCGAAAATAATGGAGCGAGTGCGTGACGTCAAGGACAACGAGTGTGTGGGTTTTTGTGTCCGATCGCCCCGTGGCCCTGGCTGTGGGTTGTTGTGATTATTCCTCTCTCGCTTGTCACCGAACTGGTGTGCCCTCGACGCAGTCGCGTGATCTTTGGCTCTAGTTTCACGGCTGGTGATTGTCCATCCGCCCTCGTCCTTCTCAGCACATCCCCAGTTGAACGGCACAGACAGTCACGTTTTCCCTCCTCTCTCTCTCTATCTCGTCCGCAACGAGCTTTTACCGAACAGGCGCCACTCGACGCCACGCTCGTGCATAAATGCGTCATCTTTTTCTTCGCCTCCGCTCTTTTTGTCCTCTCGATTGAATTGGAATCGACTGCCGCTGCTAAGAGTGTCTGTCGCTCGTGCGAATCGTGACGGGAACAATGAAACTCTCGCTATGAGAAAGGCTTGCACGCATTGGAAGAGCGGGGAGTCTCCAAGGGGGTGGTGGTGGGGGGGGGAGGTTGCATCTATTGACACTTTTTTTGTTCTAAGCTATACAGAAATCATCAAGTGGTGGCGGAGGATGGGAAAAAATCATTTCTATACGGGGCTAACGGCAATTAGGTTTAAAATTCAAGAATAGCGTCTCGATGTTCCTCTTCCACTCCCATGCGATGTTCCAGCTCTAGATCGGCGTGTACGTCGGTTCCCGTTGTTTAAATTAGGATCGGTTTGTATGCATGTGTGTGTGTGTAGGTGTGTCCGTGTGGTTTCCTTTATGCAGCGGCTTAGCGACGACCCCTCGCCCATCTCAGAAGAGCGTCCGCCAGTACGTCGAGGTGCGCTTTTGTCTGCAACAGAAAAGTATATGAGAACTCACGCGTGGGTATTTTTCCGTGATGGGCGCGCGTTCCTCATCGATGTCGCGAACCAAATTGTACCACGTTGCACGAGAGCGCTCGAGTGCGTCTACTTAGGTGCAGAGAGAAAAGAGATACGTAGCGTGCAAAGACCGAGGGTAATTGGAAAAACGAGTTGGTACTAGTAGAAGCCGATCCCTCTGGTATTCCGCTTCGTTGTACAATGAGAGGAAGAAATAAGCTGGGGTTGCAAAAGCCGCGGTTGATGCAGAGGGAGGGTCGGGAAAGAGCTAATGCGAAGTACGGTGCATGGGGAAAGTGCATGTACGAGGGGGGATTTTTATAGGGCTGCTGGAAGAAAGAGAGAGAGAGAGAGAGGGAGAGAGGGAGTTGCAAAGAGAGATGGATCGTGCAGAGAAGCAAGAGGGGGACAACAATAATAATAATAATAATAATAATAATAATAATAATAATAATAATAATAATAATGCCACGGAGGATTTAATTGTTCAGTGGAGATTCTCTTTTATTGAGTTAGGCTTGGAGTGGGCGCTTGTATGCCCGACCACGCGTATTCACGCTAGCTTTGGTAAGTATGTAGCCTATCGAGTGCCGTTGCTGTGAGGAGTATTGGTTTTCCAAATCGAGATGACTGCGATGTGGATTGGGCTGTGCAATGCGATGACAAAGGGTTTTTTTAGTACAAGCGTGTGCGTGGTTTGGTTCTGTTTGATGATACGAGCTTATCTTTTTCTTTTTCCGTAATTTCCATATCATTTATATTTATATACATTCCGTAAGTTCCAATGTTGGAAAATCGTTCGTTGATGAGATGGTTCCTGTCGATTGAAAGGATTTCATATTTGTCTCTACCAATGAGCAACAAAGATTTTATTTATGTCTAGGAAGGTCGATAGTGTGAGATTTCATTTTGTCTCTTAAATGGGTATTAACAAAGCAATAATACAAAACGTGTGGCAATGGAACAAAGAAGACAAACGAACGTGAATTAGGGTTAAAAATAAGTAGTACAACCTAAGTATGGTCAGACTTTGCATTACTGTTACAACAGAGTAATTCAAAGGTGTCAAGAAAATTTCATCGTAGTTTGAACAAACTTTACGTAGTTTATATAAAACGAGGAATGTTAGAAAAAATTATGTGATGCAATCACATACATTACAAATCCAGTGACAAAAGATGTAAAAAAAAAAAAAAAAAAATGAAAATGAAAATTTAATCCTAATTTCTGTCGATTAGAAGCATTTCATATTTGTCTCTTACAATGAGTAAAAAAGATTTTTTCCTCCCTCGGGTGGTTTTGGGAGGCTGGTACTTCCTCGGGCGAAAAAGCAGTTTTCCGGAACTCGTTCGAAAAGTCTCCTTTACGAACCTCGTTACGTCCCTCGCCTTCGGCTCGGACCGCAAACCTCTCGGTTCGCAAACAGAGACTTTTCAAACTCGTAGGAAAACTACTATTGTAAATTTGCCGCCCCTGGACACCGCTCAACCTATCTTGTGAGTTAATTATTTTTTACTTTATATTCAACTATTTTTTAATAATTCAGAAATTTATTGTATTAATATTAATTGGCTCCAACTCACACGGATGAATAATGCAATTACTTATTCTACTATTTTTATCAATTTTCCTCACACACTGCGAAAAAACTTGTACGCAACTCGTGCGAGACGATTTTCCGTACTCGTGTGATTGACTCGCTTTCGTGGCCGATGCTAGTAACTCGTGCCCTGCGATCACACTCGTGCTACGCACTCGTGCGCTTAACTGGCACTCGTTCCCAGAAACTTCGGCCACTTGTGCGCGTCGATCACAACTCGTGCGGGAAATCTTTTATTCCGCACTTGTAACGTAAATAATTATATTTATATCTAGGAAGGTAGTTAGAGTGAGGTTTTATTTTGTTCCTTTAAAATGGTATTAAGAAAGTAATAACACAAAATGTGTGTCGAAGGAACAAAAAAACAAACGCAATCTTAGATTAGAGTAAAAAATAAGTAGTACAATCTAAGTATGGTCAGACATTGCATTACATTACTATTACAATGGAGTATTTCAAAGGTGTCATGAAAATTTAATCGTAGTTTACAAATCCAGTAACAAAAAGTGTAAAAAAAAAAAAAAAAAAAAAAAAATGTAAATTTAATTATAATTCCTGTGTATTGAAAGGATTTGATACTTGTCTTTTACAATGAGTAAAAAAAAATCATTTGTATTTAGGAAGGTAGTTAGTGTAAGATTTAATAATTTTGTCCCTTAGAAAGATATTAACAAAGTAATAAAACAAAATGTGTGAAAAAGGAAAAAGAAAGACGAACGCAATCGTGGATTATGATAAAAATAAGTAGTATAACCTAAGTATGGTCAGACATTGCATTAGTATTTCAAAAGTGTCAAAGAAGTTTCATCGTAGTTAAAACAAACTTTTCATAGTTTGTATGGAACGAGGAACATTTTAAGAAATTAACTGACGCAATCACATGACGTAGCAAATCCAGTGACAAAAAATGTAAAAGAAAAAAAAAATGAAAATTTACTCCTAATTCCCATCGAAGTTGGAATTGAACTTTAGCAATCTAATTTGCGATTTACCAATAGCACGGAGGCTGAGATTCGCTCGCATTAGTTCGCTGTGCACTCCACAAACTAGATTTGAAAACTTTTAGCTGAGCTGAATGCAACTGGAAAGCGAGTGGGAGTTGATAGTCCTTGCAGATGAGTCCAACGAGTATACGTAAAAATTATGACGCTCTCAGCAAAACTTACGGGGAAATGATCGAAGACTGTAAGCTGCGAATTATATACCAGAGTATACCTAAAAATTTTTTAGATGTGTTACCATCTGAATTTTTTTTTAATGTAATAAAGAATCAACGATTAATTTGTCGACATATGTACGTCTATGGCAGGGAACGTATAATGTCGTTTCTAGCTTTCATAGAACCAATTTCAAGTTAGTTCTATGAGTCAGGAGTGTACAACTATACAAAACGTTTATTTCGTAGTTACTTCCATCTCGCCAGTACTCAAATAATATTACGATTTCTACAAATCAGATCTTTTGAATCTAAAAATTTTGGGAAACCAAAAAGTGTGAAGAATACCGCAAAACTTGTTAGGACTGATTCATTTTAGTATTATTAGTATCTTTGAGAGCTTTTAAGTAAAACGTGACTGTGTTATAAACGCCTTTATAGATTCAATCCTAAATTATAAAACTACCTTCAAAAACCAACAAATGACTGACACTATACTTGAGGGAAAACTCGTTTCTACAATGTAGTGCAGTTAAAGTTTAGAAAGATGGCAGTATCTTACAGTCTAATTCTAAAGGAGGAAATAGATAATCTTGAGTTCAATGAAAAATTGTGAAATTTTAAGGGACTCGAGATACCTCCACTTGAATACTCGTACTGATTATTTGGCAGGACTTTTTGTACGAAATCGATGATACGAGAGTATTTTCTAGTTATACAAAAATAATGTTATTAATAATATTAGAAATAATATTACCTACTGAAAAGATTTACTTTTATCGATGATTATACTGTAAATGAAGTTTTTCACGATAGCAATATAAGTACCTTATAAAAGAAACCATCTCAACCCTAAACTTTAATGTCCAATCATCGTACCTTTCAATATTTCTTGTCAAATTTGGTATAACTGAAGCTGATCATAGTAAAACTCCGATCAAAAAAAAAATCGGAAACTCCAGTAACTGAAACCATCCAAAAAAATCAGAGATACACGGAGAAATGAAGCAAGACCAGACAGTTAATTATCCCAAATTCAGTAGTGCCGACGGTAAGTAACAGGTTACGTGCGGATGAAACACGCAATCTCGAAATCCGAAGCGATGATCGGAGTGGCTAGCCAGACAGATAGCGATAATTGTTATCGAAAGCAAGCAAGTGAGCAAGCACAGCCCTATCACATAAAGGTATAAATACACACGGCACAGGTGGAGTAGCCGATAAGACGAGTAAAAGGATGTGTGGTACGTATGTACGTATACTCACGGTTTTGTAGAACATGCAGCCCTGCCTATCCTCGTCCTCTCCTTGCGGGCAATCGATGAAGCCGTCGCATAACACGTGATCGTCGATGCAGCGATACCGGCCTATTCGGTCCGCCGTGGGGCACGCAAACCTCTCCATGCCTTCGTCCGACACCGGACACTCTGCAAAAATCAAACTTTGCTCAGATCCTTCTTTGATTTCTTTGTTCTTTGCCACCTCCCGTCTGATATTGCTATTTTTTACTTGTTATTTATCAAAACTAATAACATAATAATTGGTCATTAGCAAGGATTTTTTTACCAGGTAAGCATGGAGAGAAAATCAGTATTTCATGTTTTAAATCTGAGTAAAGTCATTGTTAAATTATAGTGTGGCAAATAATTCTATTTACTCTTCGTTTAAAAAATCTATGATAATCAGTGTATTACTTCAGAACTGGAGATAATTTTTTATTTGTATACATACATTTTAACACTCAAAGAATATTAGAACCATCACCTCAGACCTTCCCTACTGTACAATCACGTATATTTTGCCGATATTTCGACAGATCTGATTTCAACGTTTCAGATTCAAACAAATGATGTATATAAAATATGAAATAAATATTTTCTCAATAAAAAAACCAGCAATTGGTGTACGACTTTTCACATATAATCAACCATGTCTCGCGTAATATAAAGTTCAGTAAGAAAAATACACGCAACCACTTACCCAACGTATATCGCTTACGTCGTAAACGACCTTGTGACATTAAGTTAATGAATTAACGTAAAGTAATTACTTTTAAAAGTATTAAATTGACTATAATGATAGATCCCCGGGTCTAATTTCGATTTCGTGTCTATTTTATTAACATCTTGCTGACTCTATGTTAGGAAAAATATATAGCCATTGTTTGTTCTTGTAAATATGCTTGAAGCGTGTGATACGCACTACACGACGATTCCCCCGGGAGCCAAGGTAAAAGAAAAATAAGGAAAAAAGGAAAAGTTGATTAAAAGAAAAAGTGAGATTAACACAGTACATAAAGTAAGCCAATGTCAAAGTCAAGTGGCATGCGCAGTGATGATACCAGATAAGCACGTACGCATGACTTTATACTGAGACGCATACCTACGAAAAAAGATGAAACGAGTCGAGGTTACCCCTTTTTCGGGAACATAACTCAATTTTATATTTGCAAGAGACGCAAATAATAGAGAAATTTAGAGACAACAGAAAAGAAAAGAGAACGTAAAATAATAGTATTACTTCCAGATTTTCTTTTCAAGATTTGACAAAACTACATAAAGTGGAGGATGTTGAAAGTAAAGAAAGTTCCTTCCTAAGAGAGTATCGAAAGTTTGGATTGCAGATTCGAATGTAAATTTTTAGGTATACATTTCCTCATGACAAAAGATCGAAGAAACCACAGTAGAGACTCTTAAGAGTTATTGTTCTAAAGGTGTGTCCAACAATAAATAGAACTATTAGCTAACAAAAAAGTGCAAACTTGCCGAATTTTAAAGAATTCAATGCATCACAGACTATGTTAGAGTGACTACTTTGATCTCCATGAGTTCCATTTGTGAAAAAACAAAATCGAATTGGATAACGAAATACATGAACCATTGGGTAAGCAAACTAACTAGAGTAACACTGTATATTAACTCCACCAAATACAAAGAGTAAATTCAACGATTGTGCATGATAATGCACACTGTAAGGAAGTGAAAATAGTTTTGTGGTATCTGGTTGATGCTTTGGATACGAAGTTTGATTATTGGCGAGAAAATTATCATTAATAATTATATCCCAACTAAATGCTTTTTGTATGATGAACATGTAAGATGTATTAAAGAATTGTGTATTACGTGCTGAAAAAAAGATAAATATGTATTCGTTTTACCTGAATGTTAGAGTGTTGAATATAACGTAGGTATGCCATGGCAAACAAATTAAAATATTTATGCTACTGTACACGTCATTCAAAGATCGCACATCAGTACTATTCTTATATATATGTGCAATTACATGTATTATGTACGTGTCGTTGTCTTTCTACTATAGTTTGTGCTGGACATAACGTATTTTACAACTTTTATATTTAATGTAAAAGTAATCGATCAAAAGTCGTTTTTTATTTGAGCACCTACTCTGACTACATTGAACCAACTAAAAATTTGTAAACTAAACTTATTCTTGAAATATCTCATAATATTTTTTTTTTTAAATCTTTTTCTCTTGAATTTTTATGAAAGGTACGGATAATCAAATTAGTTACTGAATTGTGAAAGAAAACGAAATTTTGGAATTTTATTCTTTTTGGTCATTTAAGCCCCCCGTTTTAAAATTAATTTGAAACCTTACACTCTTTGCTCAAAAGGTTATTCTGACGCTAGTTTTATAAATCTTAAAAAATATCTCTGGTATTTGATGTAAAATAAATTTACTGCATTAAAAAATGGTATAATATAAAAATTGAAGAAATTGAAGTTTATTCAAGCAGAAACTTATTTTACAAACGATTCTGTATTTTACCTAAAAATAGTCGTGGCTATTCCACCCTTAGACTCCCTTAATGCGTAACAGTTACGCACGTCAAAGGCCTAACTGGGTTATTCAGATATTTTTGGCGTACAAAACACTATAGACATTGGGCTTATTCAATTATGCTGTGAGTATTTATATATTACTTTTCCCTCAGTATCACCTTTATTTGGAGTTGGCTATTCTTCTAACTTTGTTGGTATAATATTATTGTGCGAGTGTTAACTAGATTTTTTTTTACTGTATTGTTTTATTGTTACATACTTAATCACAGAATCACCGAAAAGCTAAAATTTTATTTTCATTATTGTTTTATAAATAAAATTAAGGAAATCTTGAGGAAAAGGAACTTAAAATTTAAGATTTTAAAGTAAAAATTATTCACCATGTTTTAGCTAAACAAAATGAGACTCGATTTTTCCTTTGGCATTAACGTCCTTTAAAAAGTTTTGGCAAATTTTCATAGATCCTCTCAAATATTAATTACACGGCTTATCTGTGCAGTACCTTTTGAAAATTATATGTAGCTTGAAGCTTAAAAATTTCGAAACTAATTTCATATTCTGACAACTTATTGCGCTCGAGCTCCTTGGAATAGTATTTCAGGATTTTCAACAAAATTCACTTTCCAGAGGCTACGCATCAACACTTTCAGTCTAATTTGATTGGGAATGATTCAGTAAAGCTCATTTCCATCCTGAGACTCCCTTCGCATTATATCTTTGTAACACGACACGAATAGCTCTCCTTCTATCGTCATCCATCGCTGCTCAACAATCGATATTTTTGCTCAAAACTGGATCCAAATTAGTTATTCAAGACGAGAGAAAAAGCGGCACCAATATTTCTTATTTTAGCGAATGCCCTCGATGTAAGGGTCAAACAAATGAGTACGTCATCATGTATCTATGGTTAAAAAAAAAAAAACACCCCTATTTTTACTTTCGTGAAAGTTGTCAAATCGATTAGCCGCATCAGCATCCTACGTCAGCGTTGGGTTCAAGGAAACATTATCTCCCAATGTAATGCAGTAAAATATTCTGAAAGCAAGAATTACATACACGATGTACCATTCCTTCCGCTCCGAAAAATGTTTAGACATCTGGTCGGCCTTTTCCCTTGAACCCCAACCATCATCAGTTTTGACAAATGCCTATTTATATCCGAGAAAACGTAGATTGTTACATAAATATGTATAAATGTAGCCGGAACAACCCCAAGCCCGTAAAAACGCTCGTACCCGAGCAATCTCGGAGCTCCTTACCAATCTCGCATTGGTTCAAGAACGAAGATCAAATCTCATCTGGGGGTCGCACCACCCTTCTGGTAACGTAAACGAAAAAAGGGGAAAAAAAAAAAACGCGTGACGGAGAACTCCGCCCCAGACCCGTAGGTACAAACTCGATCAGGATTAGGATAATCACAATAATGAGAATATACAAGGGGAGGCGCGAGTGGCGTCGTTCCAAATATAGAAGAGCTCATCGACCGTCGCTCGCGGGGCAGCACAACCTGTGGCGTGAGAAGCTTATCGTAATTTGCATACCAGCTCCTTCTTTCGCTCAACTTCCAAATATATAGAAAACATACGTATACGTATATATATACATCTAAACGCGAGAAAACACGGGCCTCATACACACGTTCGCAGTGAAACGCGCAAGCGCGCGCGGGTCTGGTTGTAAGAGTACATATAGCGTGTTGTCGCGAAAACAGGTGAGTATGAATGGGAGGCGCGACTAACTGTGTGCGTGAAATCGATACAGCTCCCTCCCCTTTTCCTCTTAATATGCCGCTGGTCACACCACCGATATCACCACCAGCCGCAACAGTTCGCATCGACGCGAGTGTGCTTCCAACACGTATACACTCAGACCCCCCTCTTCGCCTCATTTATTTTTTTTCTTTTTTCATTCCTCGACGTATATTTCTAGCTTTTAGATAAGCGATCTGCCCCCCCTCCGCTACGTTCAATATCATCCCCACCCTCGGCCGTCCCGAGCTTGATTCCTAGAATCCAGCGTAAATGACGTCTTTCATTCATTTGAGGTGGCTGTAGGGGAAGGAAAGGGGAAGCGATGTCGTGCTGACACAGCGCTCGTAGGAAAATTTCTGTCTCGCGTGAACGAAAAGTTTGATTTTGATAATTTTCTGTCAACCAAGCTGACGTAGGTACATTTGCCGATGACTTTTCTGTGACGCGTCACCGTATAGAGAGGAAAAAAGAAAAATGTTTGCTCTTTAATGTAAGGCGTTTTCCCCCTCGTTATTTTAAAATCGAGTCCGTTGGGCGCTAGTCAGTGTTGAAGAGATCCAAGATGCTGTGTATTGTCGTAGTCTTTCACCTAACTATCTGGATACTCGATTTTCTGTATAGACAGTCAATTGTTGGCACGATTCATTAGAACCACAACTCCCTGAGTGGACCCGAGAAACAACATTACCATCAACACCAGCATCTTATCAAAACCTTTCAATAAACAGTTTCAAAGAAAAAGATAAAAAGTAGGTAAGTATATGCAATATTTAATGACCAAGTTGTTGCTTCTAAAAACATCTTTTATCCAACTGATACGAGTTAAATATAAAGTTCGAGCAGGAAGAAAAAAAATGTCCTTACGAAGCGTAG